AGCCTGTGCGTACCCCTAGACACTCCCCTTACGCTGTCCTATAAGATCTCTTGGGAGGCCCTAGGAGCTGTCTTTGCTAGCCATCCGCCATGGCGGGTGGGTGAAAGACCCGAGCTAACATGGGGTTAGCTCGTTAAATTACAATAAAGCCTCATGCAGTTTGCAGCAAGCTCTCGAGTCCGCCTGGTGATTGGGGTGACCGCAGTCGTGGCCTGGGACCCCGGATACCTGAGTTTTCCGGGGGTCTAACACTAGCAAGAAGGGCCTTCCCTGTTGATAGCTCAGGCTTACTCTACCCATCCCCATCCATGTGTCCTCCTGTGCTCTGTCTGCAGAATAACTCCTGGGGGAAGCAGTACTCCTATGCCCTCTTCAAGGCCATGAGTCACATGCTGTGCATAGGGTATGGACGGCAGGCACCTGTAGGCATGTCTGACGTCTGGCTCACCATGCTCAGCATGATTGTGGGTGCCACCTGCTATGCCATGTTCATCGGCCATGCCACTGCCCTCATCCAGTCTCTGGATTCCTCCCGGCGCCAGTACCAGGAGAAGGTAGGTTGAGCCTTGTGTCCACCCAGGGCTTTCTCAGGAGGATCTGCTCATTGGACATGTGCAAGAGGAAGCACACATGGCCAGCACCAGGTGCCCAGGCCCACAACTGTCAGTACTGTAATGGAGAGTCTTTCTAAATGAGAAACTTGTCAAGTCCCCGACTTAAACCTTTTGCTCAGTGTACAGCCTTCCTTCTTCTCTGCTGTAGGGGGAGTGGGGGTGAGTTGTCTCTTTACTCAAAGGGACCAGTGCCCTCATTGTTGCATAATCTAGTAAGGTCTTCAAGCCACACTTGGCAGCAGCTGACAGGGTCCCCCACTCCTTGGCCTCTCATTTGGTTCCCAGGACTGCACATCTCTGGCCTTGCCTGGCTTCTCATCCGTCACCACAGGACCCTCCGTGTTCTGATGCTGTTGAGCTTCCCAGGTGTTAGGTTCTGCCATGACACACTCACATGCGTCATGGCCATCTGTCTGCAGGGAGAACAGGCGCATCACCAGCCCAGCCCATTCTCAGCTCCAGTGTTTCCCTGGTGGCCCATGGACCACGCACCCTCATCATGTATAAAATCAGGGCAGTCCCTCCTGCTTCCCCCACCACACCAAACCTGTACTCTGCACATTTTACTAACATACCTTAGGAGCTCAGACCCTAGCTAGGAGCCATCAGCCAAGTTTGATGGCATTGCCTGATGGCCACTTGAAACCCCTGCTTCCCTGCTTAGCCTTTTCTCAGGGTCACTATAGCCATGTCCTGATTGTAGTGACTGAGAACTATGGCCTAGATTTAGGCAGTCTGAGGTTCCCCTCTGACAGCTCTGAGTGTGGTACTGTCACTTCCCTCTGTGCAGAACAAGGATGGGATATATCTCAGTTGGTAGTGCTTGGATAGCGTGCATGCATGCTAGCATGCATGAAGACTTGGATTTGATCCCTGTACCATATAAACTGGGTATGGTGGTATATGCCTGTAACTCCAGCTTTTGGGAGGTACAGGCAAGGGGATCAGAAGTTCCAAGGCTATCCTTAGCCTCACAGGAACTTCTAGGCCAGCCTCTGTGAAGCCAGGCCAGCCTACACCTCTGTACCAACTCTTCATATGTGTACACACACAACGCACACACAAATAAAACAGAGTCGTTCCTTGTGTAAAACTCTTGAAGGTTTCTTGTTGCTCCTAAGATCAAGATGAGCTCCTAGACAGATGTTTTCACCTTGCACTTATGAAGGGCCAAAATCCAGCTAATGTTCAACTCAATTCAGACTGGATCTCTCATGCTCTTGGTCTCTGTAGTTGCTCCTGCTTTGGGCCTAGACAAAGCTCTAGCAACAGAACATCTATTTCTTTTCTTCCCCTGACAGCTCCACATCTTATGTTGGACTTGACTTTCTATGACTCACTTAGCTCCAGTCTGTCATGTGATTCCCACAGCACCCTCTACTTCTTTTCCACCCCACTTTGCCTCCTGTAACTGAATAACCACACACACACACACACACGCACGCACGCACGCACGCACGCACGCACGCACGCACGCACGCACGCACGCACGCATATAAAAATGGTCATTTTTCCCTGTCCAGGCTATAGCTCCTCAAGGGCAGGATCCAATTCTGTTGTCCACAGTGTTTGACATACAGTAGACCTCAGGATCCGTTGATTCATTAGCCGTTTGTCTGGCTTGGCTGCTGTTCCCTGGGAAGATGACTGACAGATGGCATTCACTCAGGTGTGGAGGTCCAGGTCCTGTGATGTTAAGAGAAAACCTCAGGAGAGCCTGCAGGCCGTGAGGAGGCAGAAGGAGAGAGTGGGAGAGAATTCCAGGCCAGTGGTCATGAGGCACACATGCAGCGGCGTGGAGGAGGGTGGTAGGAGGCACTGTTCTGGGTTAGCAGTAAGTGGGGACAGATAAGAGTCAGGTCATAAAGGACAGGACTCAGGCCAGTCTAGGTAGGATCTGAAGCCAGTATCAGGGCCCAGCCTGTGCAGGGATTTGTGTAGAAATGGCATTGTGGTCTGTTACACTACACCCAGAGTGAAGCTGCTTGCGAATTCTTCGAGAATCGTCCTTACTTTGTTCTGAGTTCCTAGCTCTTTGGGTCTTCCTGTTTACCTAGGGAAAAAAAATGTCTTACCTCTCTGATGCCCTGCCCCCCAGCTCTTCCCTGGATGACTTCAACAGCCTTCTTACCCCTGCCTGGTGTTCCTTCATCTGTTTGTTGAGATGCAATTCTCTAAAACACAGCTCCAAATGTGCAGGTTGCCTCCATCACAATGGCTGGCCAGGAGGCCCTGCCATTCCTGTGGCCCCCCTGGATTGGAGCGGCCATAAAAAAAAAAAAAAGAATCAAGTCTCAGCTGAGGCCCTATTTACAGACATACCTTGCAAAGGTCAGCTGTCCTCACTTACACTTCCTGTACTCAGCCCACTGCAGCATTTCCTGTCACTGGGCCTATTGCCACTCCTGGTGTGTGTGTGTTGGGGAGGGGGTGGAGGGTACCTTTCTCTTCTAGAGTTGGTGACTCCAGAGTGATGTAGAAATACCAGATATTTAGAGGAAATTTGATCACTCTACTAGTCATTAGCCCCATACCTGCTCTGTGGACAGTCCCTGTTCCCACTTATCTTTATAGTTTCCAACACTTGAGCACCTATGTCCATCGCCACACAGAGCTTGGAGTCAGGGCCATTATTTTGGGTGCAGTGTGATTACACTGAGCCAAAGTTAGCTAAGAGAGCCTCAGGTGTGTATGCTTCTAGTCATCAGCCTGACATGCGAGGAGGTGACGCTTGTCTCTCTCTCCCATCTCAGTATAAACAGGTGGAGCAGTACATGTCTTTCCACAAGCTCCCGCCCGACACCCGACAGCGTATCCATGACTATTATGAACACCGCTACCAGGGCAAGATGTTTGATGAGGAAAGCATCCTGGGTGAACTGAGTGAGCCGCTACGAGAGGTGAGCTGCAGACAGCTTGGTCAGGGAGTGGGTCCCAGGCCTTGCTTGGCACACTGTTTCCTCACCTGTTCCATTTTGTGTCCCTACCCATGCCATCCGTGGAGCAGGAGATCATCAACTTTAACTGCCGAAAGCTGGTGGCCTCCATGCCGTTGTTTGCCAATGCAGACCCTAACTTTGTGACGTCCATGCTGACCAAGTTGCGCTTTGAGGTCTTCCAGCCTGGGGATTACATCATCCGAGAAGGCACCATCGGCAAGAAGATGTACTTTATTCAGCATGGTGTTGTCAGTGTGCTCACCAAGGGCAACAAGGAGACCAAGCTGGCTGATGGCTCATATTTTGGAGGTGAGACAGCCAGGGGCCCCCGAGGAGAACAAGAGTGACTAGGAGCTAAGCTGGAAGGATATCCTGAGATCATAAGCACAGAGGGCTCTTCGTGGCCACAGCCTGGAAATGGGTATCTGTCAGCCCAGTATAGGGTGTCTGTCTGTGAGGGCTGCTATAATAAAGTATATAAGACTGGTGGCTTATAAACCATAGGACTTGGTTTCTCAGCTCTGGAGGCTGGGAGTCACAGGCCAGGGTGCTAGCCTGGTGGGTTCCATTGAGGGTTCTCATAGTGGTAGACTACTGCCTTCTTGCTGTGTCTCAGACAGCAGAAAGAGCATGTGTGTTGTTTTCCTGGCTTCTTCTATTATATTTGTGTGCATGCATGAGTCTGCATTCACCACTCATACCCACCCACACCATAAATCATGGCACCCACGTAGAGATTTGGGGACAACTTGGGGCAGTCAAGTCTCTCCTTCCACCATGTGGGTCCTGAGCATCCCACTCACATCATCAGACTTGGCCAAAAGTGCCATTCTGCTGGACCATCGTACCTGCCCCTCTCTAGTCTCTTCTATAAGGGCACAGGTCACCCCCCAGAGTCCCACTTCTAAGTACCAGATCATCTTGAGGTGGGGATTTCAACATAGGAATATGGGGTGGCACAAGCCTTCTGTCCATTGGAGGGGGATTGGCCTCATCAACAGAAACAGCTTGACATCTATTCGGTGGGGGTGAGGCTGGTACCTAATATGGCTACAACCTAGTAGACAGCCTTGTGAGTTCACTGTACCAAGGTCAGGATGGAACAGCTCTGAGTGGCATGGACATTCTGTGCCTAATTGACCCTGAGTCTTGCTGTGTCCACAGAGATCTGCTTGCTGACCCGGGGGCGGCGCACAGCCAGCGTGAGGGCGGATACCTATTGTCGCCTCTACTCACTGAGTGTGGACAACTTTAATGAGGTGCTGGAGGAATATCCCATGATGCGGAGGGCCTTTGAGACTGTTGCGCTGGACCGCCTGGACCGCATAGGTGAGGGGCAGGGTGTGCATGGGGGAGGGCAGGGAAGTAAGCACACACATACTCCGTACCCCCCACGCACCTCCGGTGCGACCTGAGTGTCTGCTCTTGTTTTCTGCCTCAGGCAAGAAGAATTCCATCCTCCTCCACAAGGTGCAGCACGACCTCAACTCAGGCGTCTTCAACTACCAGGAGAACGAGATCATCCAGCAAATCGTGAGGCATGACCGAGAGATGGCCCACTGCGCTCACCGTGTCCAGGCTGCTGCCTCAGCCACCCCAACCCCCACACCTGTCATATGGACCCCGCTGATCCAGGCACCGCTGCAGGCTGCTGCTGCAACCACGTCGGTGGCCATAGCCCTCACACACCACCCTCGCCTGCCCGCCGCCATCTTCCGGCCCCCGCCGGGACCCGGACTGGGCAACCTTGGGGCTGGACAGACACCGAGGCACCCAAGGAGGCTGCAGTCCCTGATCCCTTTGGTGCTGGGCTCTGTTTCCCCAGCCAGCAGCCCATCACAGGTGGACACGCCATCTTCATCTTCCTTCCACATCCAACAGCTGGCTGGATTCTCTGCACCTCCTGGATTGAGCCCTCTCTTGCCCTCCTCTAGCTCTTCCCCACCTCCAGGGGCCTGCGGTTCCCCACCAGCCCCCACACCATCCACCTCCGCAGCTGCTGCCACCACAGCTGGGTTCGGCCACTTTCACAAGGCGCTAGGTGGCTCCCTGTCATCCTCTGACTCCCCGCTGCTCACCCCACTGCAGCCAGGCGCTCGTTCCCCACAGGCTGCCCAGCTGCCACCCCCACTGCCTGGGGCCCGAGGAGGCCTGGGACTCCTGGAGCACTTCTTGCCACCCCCGCCCTCTTCTAGGTCACCATCGTCCAGCCCTGGGCAGCTGGGTCAGCCTCCTGGAGAGTTGTCCCCAGGTCTGGCAGCTGGCCCACCAAGTACACCAGAGACACCCCCACGGCCTGAACGGCCATCCTTCATGGCAGGGGCCTCTGGGGGTGCTTCTCCTGTAGCCTTTACCCAACGAGGAGGCCTCAGCCCTCCGGGCCATAGCCCAGGCCCCCCAAGAACTTTCCCAAGTGCCCCACCGCGGGCCTCTGGCTCCCATGGTTCCTTGCTCCTGCCACCTGCATCCAGTCCTCCACCTCCCCAAGTCCCACAACGCAGGGGTACACCACCCCTCACCCCAGGCCGCCTCACACAGGACCTGAAGCTCATCTCAGCCTCTCAGCCAGCCCTCCCCCAGGATGGGGCACAGACTCTCCGCAGGGCCTCCCCTCACTCCTCAGGGGAGTCGGTGGCTGCCTTCCCACTTTTTCCCAGAGCTGTGGGTGGCAGCGGGAGTAGTGGGGGCCTGGGGCCTCCTGGGAGGCCCTATGGTGCCATCCCAGGCCAGCATGTCACTTTGCCTCGGAAGACATCCTCAGGTTCTCTGCCACCCCCACTTTCCTTGTTTGGGGCAAGAGCTGTCTCTTCTGGAGGGCCCCCTCTGACTGCTGCACCCCAGAGGGAACCTGGGGCTAGGTCTGAGCCAGTGCGCTCAAAACTGCCGTCTAATCTATGAGCTGGGCCCTCCCTCCCTCTTCTTTTTTCTCCCTCCTTTCTTCCTTCAGGTTTAACTGTGATTAGGAGATATACCAATAACAATAATAACCATTTAAAAAATACCCCAGAAAAATGACAGCAGAAAATAACCAGGTATTCTTAGAGCTATAGATTTTTGGTCACTTGCTTTTATAGACTATTTTAATACTCAGCACTAGAGGGAGGGAGGGAGGGAGGGGAGCAGTAAGGCCCAGAGGCAACAGCCAAAGGAAGGCAGGCAGGGTCTCTGGGGGGGGCAGGGCAGGGGTGGGGTGACCCATGTTCCGGGTCCTAGAACAGACCTGTCATTGTATTGTTCTTTAGAACAAGAGCTCATCAGTCCCTTGGCTGTGAACTTGGAGCCCACTCTGCTGGGGGCTGCCCTAGGGTGTGTTCCCAGGAGCCGCCTGCGCCTGAGTCCTTGGGACACACAGGACCCTTGAGGGCCTTGCATTTTTTTCTACTGTAAACGTAGCAAGATATGTATATGAATATGTATATGTATGTAAGATGTGTTTATGTATAGCTATGTAGTGCTCTGTAGAGCTGTGTAGGTATCAGCTCCCACGTGCACACACGTGTGTGCAGTCTAGTTTAACCCCATGTTGCCAGGACACCCAGACCACCTTACATCAGCAATCTGCTGTGGCCCGCAGGCTGGGCACTGCAGGCTCTGGGGGAAGTTCTCTCTCCCAGTCCTCAGGGAAGGGGACCCCTGGAACCTTGCAGCAGATCCTCTTTCCCCATCTCTGGGCTGCAACCCAGTTCTAGTCCAACCTCTAGTCCCACGGAAGGGGAAGACCCCAGGCTGAGCCTTTCACTTCCCAGGGCCTCAAGCACACCTGTCACCTCTGTGGCCCTCAGTTTCTCTGGCTGTACAATGGGCGGTGAGGGGAACTTCTGTTTATTGAGCCTTTTCTGTGCCAAGCACTGGTTACACATACCCACAGACTGTGAGGTGGATTCTTTGATTTTTTTCCCATTTCACCGGCGAGGAAACAGGTCTCAGTCATTTTTCCAGAATCACATAGCTGGGAGTGGCAGAGCTGGGCTGAGCTGAGCTGCAGATCAACACTTCCCTAAGGCTGAAGCCTGTGCTCCTCCCATCAGAAAACAGTGTTTCATCGAGCCCTAGCTTTTGGTTCCTAGGCAAAAAAGCAGAAAGGAGAGATGGGAACTTGGTGGCAGTCAGGCTTCAGTTCAAATCCCAGCTCTGACGCTTCTAGGCTGTGTGGCCTCGGGCAAGTTATATGACCTTTCTGTTCCCTAGTTAGTAAGATAAGAACAACCATGGAACTGCCTCACAATGACCAGTGAGAACCAGATAAGAAAAAGGCATGAAATGTCCAGCCCAGTGCCTGGCGCACAGCATAGTAGGTGCTCAATAAATCATGTTTCTTCGCCCCCTCCTCATAAACTTAGCCCATTACTCTAGTGAACTGTGGTGAGATCCCAGGGAACTTTAGCTGAGGGCTCCAAGACTTAAAATCTCAGGGCTCAGGAGGTGGCTGGGCCTCCATCACGGCCTGAGGAAGGTGCATGGCCAGTGGTGGGCTTGAGTCAGGCCTTGAGA